ACAATGTTTCTTCAAATCTACCCCAAAATGATATAGAATGGTTTGATAATATGAAAGAAAGATATAATGCAAGCACTAATGAAAAATGGCCCGAATTAGCTAGAACCTTGCTCTATGACTATCCAAAAAGAAATATCATAACTGTAGAAGGCAATTTTGGTGATAAACCAGTAAGAAAAAATTGTAAATTAATGAACAAAGAGTTAATATTCGAAGAATGCAAATCTAATTTTGCTCCTAATCCATTAAGACCCCATCAGAATGTAACATCAATGAGTTTATAGCAAGCAGTTATTTCATCTCCTGAAAATATAAAATATAGATTTAATCATTATGTTGAAGATCATAATAAATATTTAGAAGTGCCCTATATGCCCCAGCTTATAGCAAATGCAAGAGAACAAATTACAAAAGTTCTTAAAGCCGAATTGCATAAAAAAGATCGAATAAAAACTGCATTAACTGCTCAATGTATATATTCTGGGCATGTTAGTAAAGGGAAAGACAAACTTAAAAGTCCATTAACTATAATTGCTTATCACAGAAGCCTCATACATATTATTCTTACAGAAGAAGATATCAATGAACATATAAATTTATTTTTATTGGAAATAGATAATGCTATAGACTTATTTATACAAGAAGAATCAGGAATGAATTTGGTAAGAATTGAAATGTTAACTATTGAAGCTTATACTTTTCAAAGAACAACTGGTGGGTCATATATCTCTACTCCAAAGAAGCTTGCTAATACCAAATGCACAATAAATCCAGATAATTCTGATATTATAAATCCAGCAACAGGTAAGCCCACAGATAATTGTCTCAAAGGTGCATTAGGTTGCTACTTTGCAGATAAAGCAGGCATAACAGATCATTTAGAAAGATGAATATATAGAGCTAAAAGTTTACAACCATATCTGAATATAGTCAAGCTAGATGGAATTCCAATGCCTACACCAATTTGCTCACATATATTTAATAAGATAGAGGAGATGAATTCAGATATTTCTATTAATGTTTGGGAATGGAAAGAAGAAACAGCTACTTCCAAAGTGGTAATAGCTAGCAAAAACTATAAAAGACAATATATTATTGACCTCATGGCTCTTACAGATATTATGAAATCTAAAGACAAGTATGGGCAAAAAAACCACTTTCTTTGGATAAAAAATTTAGATAGGCTAGTTTATGGGGATACTGCTCATCATGGTAAAAGATATCTTTGTAGAAAATGTACTATAAGCTGGCCATCAGAAAAAGCTTTTGCAAATCATTTTGAACATTGTCTTCATTTGGAAGAAGCAACTCAAGAAGTCAAATTATCTATCAAGGATATTAATGACTTTGAGAAGTTTAAGAATTATGGATGAATGATCAATGCTCCATGTGTTATTATAGCTGACTTTGAGGCTGATAATAAGAAATGCAATGAGAAATATGAAGGGCAAATATGAAAGCTTGCTGAACAAAAGGCCAATAGCTTTTGCTACTTGGTTCACTGGATCGATACTGGAAATGTATAGAGCCCATTTCTATATAGAGGAGAAAATGCTACTTAGGAGTTTGTCAAAAGAATTGATAAAGAGTTGGTCGAAATTAATAAAGTTTTAGCTATAAAACATAATTGAATTGAGACTGACAAAGACAAAAAGAAATTCAATGAAGCAGATAGTTGTTGGATATGCAAAGAAAAATTCATTATA